GGGGCTCCAGTCTGCGGGTTGCTCAGCGGCGAGTCCCAGATCCATCGGCCGCAAAGTGCGTTAAGCACGAGAATGTGCGCGCGAGTTCTCTGTCCTCCAAGATGCACGTCGCACAGAATTGCCGTGCCTCTCCGCCCCCCCCTCTCGCTCAACAACATGGCGCTCAGCAGCAGCAGCGCGGCCGCCTCACTTCTTGCGTCGTTCGTCCTGTCCCCGCTGCGCCCCTTGGCGCCTGTGCATATCGCGTGCCCACCTGCTTTTCTTTTGGGACTAGCCTTTTTTTTTACTTGCCTTCGATGTTACACAGTCCGAGCCTGGCTGTCTCCGCTTCACCTTTCTACCTACCTACTTACACAAACAACTTCCAACACTCACAGGCGTATATTCTTTTTGCTTGCTGCGACCGGGCCCTCGACCGCCTGCGCGAGCTGGTCTGCGCAAGTCCTGCGCAGCTCGGACGTCGACGCGAGCCAATCCGATGCCTTTGATCGACCGATGCGAGCTCGCGCGCGCGCGCAAAACGCGCGGATCTGCGCCTTCGGCGCGGCTGCACCGCCAGCGCGCGGCGCGGCGCGCAGAGTGGACGAACATACCAGGCCAGAGTCTGGGGCTCTGCTGCGCAGAGCTGACGCGCAGAGGGGGAGAGAGGAGGAGGTGTGTCCTCGGACGCGCGCCAGTGCTTTTTTAAGATCGTATTATGGTGAAGGAACACTACGGCAACTCTCCGACACCCGCACTCGCCACTCTCGAGGTACACTCTCACCAATGCGCGCTTATGCGTCGCGCTCAAACTCGACGTCGCTCGCATCCGCGCGCACGACCGCATCGCAGCTGTGGGCGCCGGCCAATGAGTGCCAGGTGGGTGCTCCAGGGGAGGCCGCCGAGAGTTTGCGAGGAGCATGACCTCGCCAGGCTCGCCACGGCGGTGAAGTTGAAGCGACTGTCGCTGCAGACGCTCCCTGCTCGTGCTGCTCGGTGTACGAACTCTGTTCACACCGAGCAGCTGGGAGTGGCTGCGGCTATAGCAGACAGCTTTAGGTGTTTTGTGGACGTATCTGAACTGGGGTCCAAACCGTTCCGGCGAGACTTCTCGAGGCTCACTCCCGGCGCGGCTTCCCCGGCGGGCACGTCACAGCTCGCTCTCCACCTCACCAGTAGTACGTGTTCATCGGCCATGAGCCGCCCTTGAGCTTGTACATGCTGTCGACCATCCCCGTCTTGGCGACCGAGAGCCCGCTCCATCGGCGTCGTCGCGGTCAGCACCGCCGGTCGAATGTCCAGGACGGGCCACGCCTGGCGATCTGCGCCGCACGGGTTCAGAAGCGCCGCGACCCACAGCGCACGCTCGCTTGGCCGGTCCGCCGGAGGCATCTCACCGAGGTCCTTGTCAATGAGCATACGCTCCAACGGGCTGCGACGACGGGTCGACGCCGCCCCAGCGCGCTGATGCACTCGCACGGTCTGTGCCCCACAGGGTCGCGCCGCCGCCGCGCGCGAGCTCGAGCCACGCGCCCACCAGCGAGCCCAGCTCCCGGCTGGCCAGCTCGACGGCGCGAGATGGCGAGCGCCTGGCCGACAGCTCGTCCGAGAGGCCGAGGAGCGAGGTCCAGCGCCAGCGAACCTCGCTCGACGTGACTGCACTACTCGGCTTGGGTCGCTCGCCCTGCCGCTCGAAGACGCGTCCGCCACGGAGCGTCGCCGACCAGCGGCTGGCATTGT